ATATGAATCAAGGCCTCAAGTTACCACTTGAGCTAGCCATATTATAGTTCATGATGCTATACACGCATCAAAAGTTTCAAAAACATGGCTGCCTCACACTGCATTCTGGGACAGTAGGCCCTAAAAAGTGAGCACCAAAGCAATGCAGCACCTTAATGCGGGTATACAGAGCTTTATCTTGTAATATTCATAATCAAACTTCCATAAACATTCATGCTGGAAGTTAGGTTGCAACCATGCTATGAAGCAGCTTTGTAATTGTTCCTAATGAAATATAGCTGAAGAAAACAATTTGCAATGCTAATACTAATTACATAACATGTTTTTCTGTTACTTAGAAATGGGCTTTGGACATCGAAACCACATCGTTAGTGGATGCAAAAACAGCGGTAAAAAGTTGGACAAAGCTGAAATCTTCAAGGTCATAATCTCCTCGTACAAAAATCGTTCAAACTCATATTTGATAATATAAAAAAAAAACAATAGGGGCAACAATTCTTTTCAAATTCTACGCTTAATAACTAATTTCTATCAAGATTGGCCTTTGTAAAAAAATCTTTTGGTGCTTACTTTTTAGGGGCTTTTATCCCAGAATGAGTGGGAGCCATGTTTTTAAAACTCTTGATGTGTATATATTGGCAGAAATGCCCACATTTTCAAGTTAAGGAAATATTAATAGTCCCTAATGGGGAAATTTGTCTATCGCATTTGTTTACCCATTCCTTCGCTCGAATTTGCACTCCGACCGCTCTGCTGTGGAGTGAAGCCAGAAAGTGCCTCGAGCAGCATGTCCAGATAACACAATAAAAGCCAGAGATAAATGTAGAGGTCAGACCAAAAATAATTTTAAACTGTTATATTCTTCAATGGGTGAGTGCACTGAGTGCAGATATAACTGTAGCATATTTTGGTGCATTGCATATCTATTTGTTATTCTTTCTATTACCTAAGTTAACATATACTGCTCAGTAATCAATGTTATGCCTGCAATTATTAATATGAATCTCAACAGCATGATGTCTCCACCACCATGTTTCACAGTGGAGAGGCTGTGCTGGTTTGCCATTTAACGTTATTTATTAATTTGGTCACCTCTTTTCTCCTAATTGGAAGTACTATTAATACCTAGGAGTGATCTAGTCAGAACTCCAGCTTTAATCTGAGGAAGCCATCCAGACTAAAAGAAATGGAATTAATCAAAACACCAATGGAAACATGCTAAAAGATGGGCAGGAATTTTAACAAGCTAGAGATAGTCTGCTGTTAGGAACAACCTCTCCTTGTATAATGAGAATGATTTTGTCAGAGATATTAGTACTTTTTTGGTGTTACTTTAAATATTGTATGACAGCTTTTGTTCTAACCAATTCATCAACCAAGAAAGAGTAAAAATATAATTTTATTTTCGCTCATAAAGAAGAAAAGAATAAAAACAAGAAGTGACTTTATAATATCAGTTATGTGAGTTTGGTCACTGAAACATTAAATTGGTCAATGTTTACCTTGAGGCTCATACATCAAAGAAATGACAATCAATGGAAGTGAAAAGAAGAGATGGCCACTGGCTGAGGCTGGTTGGGGTCAGTGCCATCCATTCACCCCCTCTCTCCCTGCAGGGTTTTGCTCTCTCTCATCTGTCTGGATGGGTGCCCTCTCTCTGGGGCATGACACTGTGAGAGGCCCTGGCTCTGCTGCCATCTCTGCCTTTCATGTCTCCATCTAGGGCAGCGGTATAGAGACGTGAAGCGGAGGAAGGATGGAGAAGGTGGGGGTGGAGGGGTGGCTAGAAATGTCACCCATAAGCGGGGATTTAATTAAAAATGACAGGGGTTGGTGCTGGAGAGTGCAGCCACATATGCCTGGAATTTGGGTGCAGTGAAAGCAAGTGCCTATGATTTATAATTCAAGTAATGCTCTACACTCCTTTTAATTCAACAGCCAAAGAGAAAAATATCAAAAGGCTGCCCCTGTGAGGCTAATCCAATATGATATTTTTAAGGGCAGGCGGTCAATAGCTCTCTGAAAAGCCAGCTTCTCTGTCTCCCTTTCTGCTTCTGTCTTTTCTCCACTTGTCTGTCTCCCCCTATCTCACTCTGCTGCCTCCCCCCCTCCTCCCTTTCTCTCCCTGTGCACTCCTCGCTCTCCAGTACATCACCCCGCCCCTTTCAAAGCCCAGACTCGAAGCGGGCTGTGATAATGGAAACATCCCGCTCTCCGCCTCCCGTTTCTCCTGCTAAGCTCTGCGCGCTCGGGGGAAATTGATTGTCTGGCTAGCCGATCTGAGCGCTTCCAGCTGATGGTAGAGCCAGTTAAGTCCTTTTTTATTGAGGGTATGAGGGATTTTTAATGGGAGTCGCATCAATGAACTGTGCAGCCACTCAGCATCTGCATGCAGTGGTTTTTTCCCCGAAAAAAAAACCCTTCTTCTTGTGCTCTCATCCCAGTTGCTCACACACACCCACACACATTTAAGTAAAGGACAGAGGATGCAAATGGCACAGCTCACTATTTCCTCCCCGGCAGGTAATCCCTCTCCAGGACTCTCACTCTATTTGTGTTCTTTTCTGCAGCATGGGTCGCCCTACCCCCGACCAGCCTCCATTCTGCCAAAAACTGGGCCACGACCAAATCAGTCACGAGGACCCGGCTTAGTGTGGCGACCTGAGTTTGCCCACCCCAGCAGCCAGACCCACTGCTTTTCTGTGCCCCTTCTGGGCCTGGACAAACAATCGCCTTATTGAGGCCAAGTGCTGCCCAGTGGTGGAAATCCAACACTAACCACCCCCTCCAAACCAAGGACAGAAAGAGGGCTATTATGTCCAAACATCCTCATTATGAACCTCAGATTCGCTCGCTGTAGTAGTCCTTCTATCAAAGGGTTTAACAGGTGGGGAAGTGAAGCTAGACATAGAGGGTCAGTAAGAAGGAGGGGAAAGGGGAACGACTGGAGACTGTTCCTTTTCTCTATTGATTTGAGTCCTAACTCACACTGGCTGCTCCTCAATAAAGAACCTTGAGAGGAAGTGGGCTAATCCTGTGAAATTGGAAGTGGGGAATCGATTAAGAGCACTATGGAGGATTTCCTCCATTTCTCCTTCTTCCCCCTCCCTCTTTTTGCCTTTACTAATTTTATTTTCAACAGTCCGTCTTCCTCCCTCCCCCTCTCAGTTCACCTTTCCCTGAAACTTCATTAGCGAACGACGGTGAACCTTTACTTAGATAAAGAGCCACATCTTCCAGCAGACCACAGAGCTTTATAACCTCTCAAGTGTCCTCTCTCTTTCTTTGTTTCATTGCTCCTTATGGAGCAACCTGACAGGAACAAGAAAAAAAGCCATCTTCAAATCTGAGAACAGAACCAGCATACAGCCCTCTTCTTGGTGCTGGTCTCTGTAACAGGCTACTGAGGTGTGATCTGCAGCAGAGAGGTAGCTAATTGGTCAGCGTGAAGCCGAGAATGAATTGTAGTTTATGTTTTTCCCCTTTCTGCAATAAGAACTACTCTTTAAGATGAATAGATGAAATCCATTCCAAAAGTAACTATACAGTTCTAACGTCAACATTTTTCATGTTAAAATACCAACCTGATTATGTTTCATAGTTTTTTGTGTAAAAGATAAACAGAACAGCTTTCTGTAATAACCTGACAAAGAATCCTACAGAGGAGCTCCAGAAATCTATAGCTCTGGCTGATAAATCTGCTGAAAGTATATCAATGGTCGAAAGGTAAACATATAGCCAGTTGTATAACTAATAGGTTTATGTCACATCGTATTCATGTGTTAGAATGTAGCTGTTAAGTTTTAGCTGTAAAAAAAAAAAAAAAAAAAAAAACATTTAAAAGCAATCTATCAAAACCCTTTAACCATACAAACTTTTGTGATAAAACTGCCTCCAGCCATTTCTCCCCTCTGGGTACGGCATGTAAACAACAGCTGCACCCTTGTCTTATTAAAATGGTTTTATTTAAAGCAAATTCTAAGGTTAGGAGAAATTAATTCCCTTCAAACTGACTGGAGCCAGATTATGTGTTTCTGTGAGGTATGATACAGCCCCCGCCCCCACTATTTTGTGAGTGGACAGAGGACGATGCTCGGGAACAGCAGCTGCCACACTTTAGATGCGGCCGGCACGTCCAGGGCCAGACACTGTAAATGTTTACAGACCCTCGGGGTCAGCAGGGCCAGTGAGGCCTGTTAAACAGTGTCTGTTCAGTTCTGTTGTCACGACTGCACAATCAGCGAGTAGCAAAACTACTCAGCAATCCAAGTTGTCAATGCAAATTAAATAAAATTGTTCAGAATTGTTGAGGGGGAAAAAGGGGACAGTGGTGAAAACTTCTCTTTCACCTTACTGTCCATGTTTAACATGAGCAGCAGATAAAACACAAACACCAGACCCAGTATTTTACATCTTTCAGAGGGAAACCACACTATGCTCTCCATATTACCCAGCCCTTTAAGTTCCTTGTGAAATGTATAAAAAGTCAACCATGAATTTATGATAGGAATATAAACAGGGTCCCACTTTAAATATGCAGCCTGAAGAAAAATTAGAACGGGAGGGGAGGAAAGAAGAGTGGAATAACCCAGGGATAAAATGGCAGAATACAAATCAGGAAAAAAGAAGGAAAGTTGGGTCATACGTAAGGATTAAAGGGAGGAAGTAAGGGAAGAAAGACAGACAGAATGAAGGCAAGAAGGAACCATGAAGCACAAAGGAAAACAAGGAGGCAAAGGAAGGACAGACACAACGAGGAAAAGAGAAGAAGGTAGGGTGATCAAAGTAAAGGAAGGAAATGAGGAAGAAAAGGACACATGAAAGGACGCACATAAGACTGAAACAAAGAGGAATATTCTTTCATGCTCTTCCTCTTCCAAAACTATCCAGACATGAAAAATACTTAAACCACTTTCCAAAGTAGAACCTCTAAACCTAGACCATCAAAGCGTTTGGCTGAATGCGAGCTAAACACCTGCTCCATGCTTCTTTTAACTTACATTTACGTGCAACGACTTGCGGCGGCTCCAAGTTCTTGCTGGCACACACCGGGTGCTGGGGTGGAGGGTTCTGCCTCCTCTGCAGACAGGCCAGCATGGCGAGGTGGACACAGTTCTACAGCCGGGGGAGTTCTGCGGACAACCTGAGTCAGGGCGAGAAAAAAAACCATTGAAGGGCGAGTTAGATACGAGGTCAAAGCTGTGCACGGTCCGGTCTGGGAAGCCACTGGGGGCCCTCTCGCCGAAGTTTTAATTGGGAAGCACGCCTACAGCTGCTCGCCTCTCAGCTCTGTGTCCAGAGTGATAAACACACACCTGCATGCTGTGGAAGCGTGGGGTGGGTGGGCGCTGTTGACACGGGAGCAGAGCATAGTCCAGGTCAGTCACTCTGCAGCTTTAAACAGCACATCCACACAGCCATTCAACCACATCTCCTGTCTGTGAAAGCATGCCCCAAACAAAACCTACAGAATCACACAGAAAACAGCTCCACTCAGCTACATTGGGCCACATTCTTTCCAGGGCAGCGTGGATGTGGTGATTGATGGCGTTATCTATGGTGAACAAAAAAATAAAAGGGAATGCTGAGAAAACAGCAGTCGTTCTGCTACAGCTCAACATGCAACAATTCTGGAGGACTGTCAGAGAAGGCCTGGGGCGCCCGAGCTGTGTCTGGATGTATGCTGAACTGTACAGTTGCATGTGAAAGTGGGTGTATGTGAGCAGATGTGATGAGATGGGAGGGGAGAGACTGCCAACCGTACATCAGGGCTAGTGATGGCACTAATCAATCTCCCTCTAGGCCATAAATCTCCAACTCTCCTTCCCAGCGCCACCTTCACTTAGGGACGGGGAGGCAGAGGCGACTAGTCTCCTCTTAAAAAGTCCATCCCATTCCCAGAGGATATATGAACATATATACATATATATATATGTACATTTGAAAAAAAGCTGAAACAACCCCCAGCAATCAGAATCCATGGACAGCGTCATTCATCAGGAGCATGGCTGTGTCAAACAAAACAATGATGACTGATTATAAAATCTTTCACTTGAAAAATATAGGGGATAGTAGCAACCAGAAGATATATTTAAACTCAGAAAGTTTATTTTATGAGATAAGGGATAAAGTAAATATTGAATATTTATAGGAAAATAATATGATTGTGGCTTTAATCTGGGCTCCGCCTCTGTGTGAGTGTTATTTTTTTTCCAAATGCGTCAACATGCAATACAATGGTCTCCATCTAAGCTGGTCTCCTCCCATATTAAAACGCAGAGCAGAGGAAAATATTTCATCTGAGCTTTCAGTGCCAGCTTCTCTCCGGCTACGATGCGTGGCAGATCACTGAAAAATGATTTCTCATGCGCATGTCACAGCCTAGCCCTCTGCTATTTATTTTCTCAGTGAATCACTAAACGAACATTTAGCCACCTGCCATCAGTCCATTACTGGCTTTCATAGATTATCATTGTATTATGAAAGAAAACAATAGCAGTGATTACAGGATGAATTAATGGCAGCTCATAGAGCTCTGGCTCCTCTTCTTGCTCATTTAAAGGCTATACAAATGCAGAACGCTGCTGCAAATGGTCGTAAATTTCAAACAAATGTTGAAGCATTCAATCAAAAGACCTCCATAACTGACGTAATGTAGCTGCAGTATATGATCAAATCAGAAATCATAAAACATATCATGTCCAAGAATAACTTTATAATGTTTTGGTGCAGTTAAACCAAAGGATTATGCTTAAGGCAAATGCAGACTAAAAATGATACAGAGCAGTGTAGACAATATCATTTGGACATGCAAATAGCCTCATCCATTGAACTAAACGTGTTGTAACTTAAAAAACTAATCAGTATGTCCCGTTCTATCAACTTCTCAAAGACAGAGAGGAGTTAGACTAAGGTGACTCCTTAAAAATAAGAAAATACCTTGAAACCAGTGTTCAAAAGGAATGGATCCACAAGATCTGGCTTTGTTTAAACTCTCATAAGTCTCATCCCTGCATCCCAGTGTGAAGCCGACTCCTCCGGCAACCCAACCCTATGCTGCTTTTAAATCAAAAAGACCAAATAGAGATATACATTTTTCACAACAGCCTCCTACAGGGCGATAAGTGCCGGTTCATGAACTGTATGCTCAGAGGAGAGGAGGGAAGAACTAAAAAAAAAGACTGACGTGAGTCCACACATCAATCCAGTTTTGATATCCTTAGAATTCCTAAGAGATCAATCATTCAGAGAAAGGTTTATGTGTGCTTGGAGCCAAGCCTTTGAAGAAGAAGTAAAACTGTTATTATTATTCAAAGTGAGGGTGATATTTAGTTATATTTGAATTAGAACAAAGTAACCAGTAGGCATGGAAAAATGTTTACTAATCATTGAATTGTCCATTTAGTACATTTTGTCAACCCCAGTTCTATACTCGAACACAGAAGATTTTTTATTATAGATTACCATGATAAAATGGTAATCTGAAATAATCTGTAAAAAGGCTGCTTAGTGGCGCAGTGAGTAGCACTGTTGCCTTTCAGCAAGAAAGTTTTGGGTTCGATTCCTGACCTGGGGTCTTTCTGCATGGTGTTTGCATGTTCTCCCTGTGCATGCTTGGGTTCCCACAGTCCAAAAACATGACTGTTAGTTTAATTGGCTTCTCTACATTCTCCTTAGGTGTGAGTGTGTGTGAATAGTTGTAAGTCTCTGTGTTGCCCTGCAACAGACTGGCGACCTGTCCAGGCTGTACCCCGTTTCTCGCCCGTAGACAGCTGGAGATAGGCACCAGCATCCCTCGCGACCCCAGTTATGATAAGCATGATGGAAAATGGATGATAAATGTATTTGATAATGCAATTTGACTAGCATTAAAAACATTTTAGAGTAGCATTCTGCATTTTTTAATTATCCAAATGATGCAGAATGGCTAAAAATTTAGAGACTCAGAGGCAGAGAGCAGCAAGAGTAAAGCAGGGATCCTACAGCTCAATTAATTACTTCACAAAGATCACTTTTTGAAGAGGTTTTTCACTTTACATCAGGAAACGTATTACTCTACTTGCAGCTGTTTAGCAGTTAATGCTGAGTGAGTTGATTTGGAGCAAGCTGTATGCAGACTTTAGTGGGTCTGGTCTCTGTGTTGAACTCGTTACCATCTTGTCAGATTTCTCAGACAACTGTTACTGCAGCAAGAGGTCTGCCTATACTCAGCAGAACAGTCAAAATAGTAACACGAGACTGAAGCGGTTAAACAGGTTAGACTAGACTCAACCTTTATTTTAAAGCAAGTTAAACAATTTTGAAGTTTTCTTTACACCTGCAACAAAAAGTTTGAATGTTTATATGCTTAAGGCAGAAAAAAATAGCTTGACTATTTTATATTAGTCGGGAGCAGAACCTTCAGGGTAAAGTGAGCTTATGTTTTGGGAGCTTCTATCTATGCCCCTAACTACTAATTTTTAATAATTTTAATGACTCAGAACTAGTCTTTTATTGTCTTTCATTTAAAAATGTAAACACTGAACCTGATGCACTAATCAGAGATTCTTCACTAGACAGTTTGAGTTGTATAGACCCTTTATTCTATTTGTCAAATAAAAAAAAAGTATTTTCAGTGATTTGTTTTGTGCTACCAGGGCATTCTATTTCATTCAGTTGTATAGTCCAAGTTCAGATTTATAAAAAACTACAGAAATTCAAGCATGAGTAAAGAATACAGTATGACTTTTTCCAAAGAGAAAGGAGCAGATGCTGGTAGTATAAACTAACAGGCTCTCCTGAAGGTTTGAAGTCGTAAACAGAGAACTGGGCATTATGACCAGCAGCCATTACTAAATTGGTGTGTGAAAAATAAATATTAAATCTCACTATTTGTGCTACTTGTTACAAAAAACTATTAACTTTGGTGTGAATTCTTAAATTCTTCAAATCAGTCGCCTTTTCAAAAAGTTTAACTGGTGAAATCAAACAGAGTTAGTTAATTTCTGATAAAACCATTGCTAAAGTATTATCTTGTCATGACCCCAATATCAGCTTTTCTTCTGATGTATCACTACTGTTTGTACTAGTACCAGTGGTAGTGCCTCTACTACAAAGAAGAATAGGAATGGCAATGATTATAAAGAGTTTATACACAATATGTTGATAGAAGCTTTTTTTTTACTGGTCGTTCACTCTTATATTACTTGTGTAAGCTTAACCTGAGCAGTAATGCCATAGGAATTCAGATAAAAGAGTTTGACAAGACAGTGTTGATGTTGTGTGATTTCAATCTATTCAGAAATATTAATTTTCCTTAATAAAAACAAGACCATGATGGTGATTTTGATTTTGTGATTCAAATGTTTCATTAAAATTTAAACCATATATAAAATGAATTTAAAAATGATTTTGTTTTTGCTAGCACAATATGCCCCCCAAAAAATGCATAAAAAATTATATTCTTATTGCCCTGAAAACATATCTTTGATTAAGTGATTTGTTTGCCTTGTACAGAATAATAAGTCACAAAATTAAGTGTGACAGATAAGTATGTCTAATTCGTCTATGACTACAACTGAATGACCTCCTGGGGGATGAAGAGTTCCTAAAAACACACATCAGCCAAAACCGATGAATGTTTTCTCAAGGCATTGCGCTTGACCCTGGACCCTGAGGCTTCTACAATGCACTTAACACCTGAAGTCACATGAGCATTTTTAAAGCCTGTCACCAGCAGCACAAAACAACACTTTTAGCACAAATCTGACAGTGAGAAAAGCACTAAAATGCATCTCCATGATAAATCTAAGCAAATTAAATCTCCACAAAGCCTCAGTTCACCCCCCTCTCTCTCTTTCACACACATTGCAGATGGAAAAGAGGGACCACTCTATATCTCGCCAGGTGCTCTGGGAAAAAAAAAAGAGGTCGCTCACAGTGCCATTTCCTCTCACACACAGGCAGCCCTGGCCCAAACACACTGGTACTTTGAGCTCATTACTGGCTATTCACATAATCCTTTCTCTATGTTCTCTCTGCAAGGATACTAATTTCCCAACGAGCCCATCCTCACAGTCCATTTGTTTAAAGATAGTGGTTGAAAGAGGGGAAGCAGACACGTGGTGGAGATTGAGACTAAAAGCTGGTCTTAACAGGGAGGGTTGGGAGGTGTTGGGGTGGGGGATGCCAGCACACTTTCCCCCTCCCTGAAATGAAAGACAATCGTGTAACTACCCTCCATTTTTCTCCATTTGCTGTGCACCAAATGTATTCGGAGGCATTATACTTTGCTAAAGGAGACTGGCTCTTTTTTTCAATTCAATTTCAGGAACCAATTTACCGCTATTATTGCCTTTAAGAGTGAAGC